TGGAAAAATTCTAAAAAGAAAATGATATTAATACGTTCTGCATAATGGAAATTATATTACTTCAGTTTAATTTTAGATTTTTATTTTTGGTTCATTGCATATTGCAGAAAGGATTTATAATTGAAACCTTTCAATTAATTTTAGAATTCTTATTTTATTTTATTATATTTTTTTTAACTGATCTCTTTTAGTACAATTTACATATACGTATATGTACATACTTAAAAGTTTAAAGTTCTTTTTTAATTTAAACTCATTGTTTATTTTTGAGTGCACTTTTCGCACTTATTGCCTCTTAAAATGATTCAATTTTAAAAATATTTTTCGTATAAAGCTGCAAATTTTAATTTAAATCTAAGATTATAAAGAATAAATTTTCTTTTCCCTTCTCATTATTTTAAGATGAACAGATAACTTTAGTCAATCACCTAGCTTTTTGAGTAATATTATTCAAAAGTTCATATGTAATGGTAAAGGTAAAGGTAAACTTATTGTGACTAGACAATAAAAGCAAACAAACTTATTGTGTACTATAGACTTTGTTTTATATGACTATATTCTATCTTATAATTCTAGATCTGTGTCTTATATATTATTTTCAATACTTTCGAGTAGCTGCATTTTAACAGTCCTGTTGCTAAACTTTCAATGTCAAACGTATTAAATAATGTAGTTCTATTTTTAGATATATAGGCATTGCGTTTTACGAGGGAATTATGGTAAATTAATAATTTTGTATCTAAATACAGTTTTCTCTTCAAGTATGTAAGTTCAATGTTAAAACAATTTATATTGCTTATATAGGGTGATTCTGAAAGGTATACAACAACATATACCATTGCTTAGAGGAACGAAAATCGATAAAATTTTTGTTCTGGACTGGGTGCCAAATCTCAAGCTTTTCCGAATTCCCAGGGATTTTAACGAATTTTCACGAAATTTTTACTTATCCAAGTTTCTTTGATTATAACTTCCATTGTGAAAAATATAGGAACTGCAAACAAACTCTTTCTGAAAGCCCTAGTAAAGAGCTTAAAGTAAAAATGCTGTTTGATTCTGTATTTCATGTACCTTCAGAATACCAAGCATTCGAACTTTTAACGAAATCTAATTTTTGCCTTGTTATATTTTTTCAGTTTTTTCTAACCAGATAATTTCGTAAGAAATTTTTCGAAACCTTGAAAATTTTTTTACAGAACTTTGCCCAGCTCCTTGAGCTTTAATTTAAGTCCTCTAACATTAAAAAATTACAGAAGATTTTGTGCTACATTACAGAAGATGTAGCACAAAAACCATTACAATGTCAAGATTTTAAAGACCCTTAATGTCAAGGGTTGTAATTATCAACTTCCATTCAATTTTGATGACAAGGTTCACTCGAAAAAACAGTTGACATTTTTATGAGCCGGTATTTTGATAAAAAATCTGAATTTTAATGTTTTAATTGAAATACAAAAAACAAAACAAAATTGAAACGAAATTTTATACAAACTTTTTAAAAGAAAAAACAAAAATTGATTTTAAAAAATTTGAAATTTTTGAAAAAAAAAAATCTAGAATTTTGTATTACGAAAAACAAAAAAAAAAATCTAGTAATCAAAAAATATTTTTCGAAACTTTTCTTGGTAAAGAAAATTGATAGGTTTTTTATTTTTGCCAATTTTTATAAGAAATGGTACCTATATGGTTTGAAATTTTTAAATGCATTTTTCTCACATTGGGTGCAATTTAAAAATTTTAAAAAATTATTTTTGGAATCTAGACACCATTTGGCATCTCAAGTTATTAAAATTAACCAGCTGGAGCGAATTTTTAAAGCAATGAAGACATAGAAATTTTGACATTTATTCTAATATAAAAATTTTTTTTTTTCAATAGGGAAATTTAATTTTTTTGTACAAAATGGAGTTTGTTAATAATATGGTGTTAAAATTGTAACGTTAATAAATAATTAAACATGATTAATAACTTTTTATTAAATTTCTATAAAAACTAAAGAGGTGTTCGGGAGTAAAGCAATTTTTTTAAAATATGCGATTGAATAGAAACAGATTTGATGGAAGAAAATTTTTGCCGAATTAAGTGAATTTCGAGGAAATTAAGTGAATTTCATATAAATTTTTGGATAAGGAATTCGTATATCTTCTTAAGGTTTTGAAAAATTTCTTACGAAATTATGTAGTCAGAAAAAACTGAAAAAATAAAACAAAGAAAAAATTTGATTTTCTCTTACAGTTCGAATCCTTGGTTTTCCGAAGGTACATAAAATACAGAATCAAACAGCATGTCTACTTTAGGTTCTTTACTAGGGCTTTCAGAAAGTGTTTGTTTGAAGTTCCTATATTTTTCACAACAGAAGTTATAATCAAAAAAACTTGGATAAGTAAAAATTTTGTAAAAAATTCGTTAAAATTCCTGGAACACGGAGAAGCTTGAGATTTCGCATCCAGTCCGGACCAAAAGTTTTACCCACTTTCGATTCTCTAACTAATGGTATGACTTATAGGGAATACACTTCATCCAACATAGGAAAAAATTTGAAAATATATTGAAGATAAATTGGTGAACAAAATCTACTGAAATTAATATTGTTTCTCATTTCATTTTAATATTTTACAAAATAAATAATCGCTCTTTCAATTTATATCGTTTATTGGTAGGGAATATTAGTAAAACAGCCAAATATGATAACAAAAATTTTAAAATGTGTATTGAGAGTTTTCTTATTCCTATACCCTAATAATTTTCTCATTTCTAAAATTCTTTTAAAATTAATAATAAGGCTTTTGATTCAATATTAAAAATCAGTATCTTATAATGTTATAGTTATGGAATAAAATATTTGTGATATTGCATTCAGTAACTTTAAATACAATATATAACAATATTTAAAACTATATAATTTTGTATTTCCACAGAGTCTAGTGATTTGTTAAGTGTTTCTTTTATAAAATTATATATATATGTATCTCAAACACTATTTTAACAATGTTATATTAAAATTTACTATACATGTTCTACTTACCGTATATAATAATCTTATTTTTTCACGGTTAATCCTAAATCTTATTAGAACATCTTTCAATCTATGAAATTTCAATTTATTCTTCCTGTGTATGCTGTGCTAAATTTATGGCTATTTACATTTTTTGCATTCAATTTACATGGCTAATAAAATAGTTCCTATACAATTGGTAGAAGGAAGGCATTTAAAAAAAAATTGATTCTATTGTTTTCTGTTTGTTCAATAAAGAAAAAAAAAAAGAGTTTAAACCTACAAAAATAATAATATATTCATGTATCTATGTTCATATGTTCCTGCACAATAATAATTACAATATCTTTTAGTTATAAAAAATATTGTAATAAAAAAAACAAAACCTTAATCGGAAATCTTACATCTGTTCTTTAAATTACGGTATAATAGCACTTTTTTTTGAGTTCAATTTACAATCTATAATTTTATATTATAACCTGACTTTTAAAAATTAAATTTGCATACTAGGTCTGTGCAGTTCAACTTATCAAACGTATTTAAAAGATTAGAAAAAAAATTATACATAATATTTTTTTTAACTATTATAAAGACCTGATGCCAAAAATCAATTGTTATTGAGAGTTATTACACGGATAATTTTTATTACCTGCCTATTAAAATTCAATATTTGATTAAAACGAACAAAATCAATGGAACAATGTTATTAAATGGTTCTTTATAATTATATGTACGTACATACATATCTACATACAAGATTCAAATCTTTATTGTTGAAGCAGAATGCATAAAAATCTACTATCTATATTTTTTTAAACTTAGCAAAATAAAAGAAAACAATAACGGTATATAGATGCCGTAAAAAATATTGTTTTGGTCAGTAGTTTTTTAAACTTGAAGCCCCAATACATTGCAAAATGCGCACATACGTACCTATAAAAGTAATTATAATAAAAAAAAAAGGAAAAAAACAAAAATATAGAACAATTACCGTAACTCTACCGAATCAATGTAAACTAAATGTTTTTCTTCTAACTGTTATTATGCATTTATGATAAGAACAACAAGGTAGGCACTAATTAAAAAATATTAACCGTTCTTAGAATTCTTAGAACTTTTGATGTGTAACGCAATATTGTTAATTATTCAATTTTATCTTTTCAAGTTTTGTATTAATAATTTTTTTATTAATTTTAATATTGTTGAAGTTAATAAAAAAAAAATTACAAGAACTAAGCTGTAAAAATAAATTATTCGACTATTGACAACAAACTGTAATTTTCAATTATTTGAAGCGCATTTGTACAGGGTTGCCATAATGCCAAACTAAATGCAAGAATAGTTTGAATGAAAATAAATGTCAAATCTATCATCTTTAAATTTGTTAGTTAGTATGTGCACCAACGTAAGAGAACTTCTTTATATAGAAAAACATTCCTTTTGAAAAGTGCAATTTCTCACCCCTTTTCTGAAAATGGAATCCTTCTTGAATGCTATGATGTTTAATATAAATAAATTTTTTTTCTTTAAATAAGATACTATACAAATCAAGTTTTAACAGCGTTTTTTGAAAAAGTAATTAAAAAATAATATTTGAAATTGGTACAGTTATAATTTTCACAAATTGAAATATATTAAAGAGAAGGTGTCGTGTCGTCTATACGTTACTAAAATTAAAATTAACTCAGTTTCTTAAAATTTTTCACTTATATCTATTTTGACTATCACAAAACAAAAAAAGGAAAAAAAGCTCATATAGGACGGAATTTTTTTGATATTTTACAAAAATTGTAGCTAAATGTTTTTTTAACTGTATTGGAAATGTTTTTAACGAATCTGTATTGGAAACAGTCATTGAACTGTAAGCTTTTCAAATTGTTTTATACGTTAAAAATTGTTTGGCTCTTTTTTATATTGACTCTTGACTCACAGTTTGATATTTTGTGATATATATGACAACCATTTAGTTAAATTGACATTTAAAAAATAATTTGCTTTTTTGAAGTTGTGTAAATATAATAAAACAAATCAAATTGTTGTCAACTCATCCGAGTTAAAGAAGATTTAAAGTCGTTATAAACTGAAAAAAATTTAAGCTATTTTAGATATTTTTGCAAATTTTTAATTGTTTATATTTTGATTTTCAAATGGTAAGTGTAAACAGTACTTGGAAATAAAATAATTCAGATAAATAATTTGATAAAGGTTATGTTTAATAATTTGCTTGGTCATTTATAAATTTTTCTAATTGTAGGCTCGTCGATATGATTCAAGAACAACCATCTTCTCACCAGAAGGTATAAATCAAATTATAAATATATTTTTTTTATTAAACTTTAATCTAACTTGAAAAATTTTCAAGGACGATTATATCAAGTGGAATATGCTATGGAAGCAATTTCTCATGCCGGTACTTGTCTGGGAATTTTAGCAAAGGATGGAATATTATTAGCAGCAGAAAGGCGAAATACAAATAAATTGTTAGATGGAGCAATATTTTCTGAAAAGATCTATAAATTAAACGAGTAACTTTTAATTATATAAAATAAAATGAAACATTTTTGATTTTATCATTGTAATTATAGGGATATGGTGTGTTCAGTAGCTGGAATAACATCTGATGCTAATGTTCTTACGAACGAGTTAAGAGTAATAGCTCAACGCTACCAATATAATTATGGTGAAGCCATGCCATGTGAACAATTGGTTTCGTATCTGTGTGATATAAAACAAGCATATACACAGTATGGAGGTAAACGTCCATTTGGTGTATCTATACTTTACATGGGATGGGATAAGCATTATGGATACCAATTATATCAATCAGATCCAAGCGGTAATTATGGTGGCTGGAAAGCAACATGTATTGGTAATAATTCTGGTGCAGCCGTATCAATGCTCAAACAGGAATTAAAGGAAGACGAAGAAATAACGTTAAGGCAAGCACAAGATTTGGCAATTAAAGTTTTAAGTAAAACTTTGGATATGACAAAGTTAACTTCAGAGAAAATTGAAATGGCAACCTTGACCAGACAGAATGAAAAAACAATTATCAAAATATTGGAAAATAAAGATGTTGATGGATTAATTGAAAAATATGAAAAATTAGAAGCTGAAGCAGAAGCAGCTAAAAAAGCGGCAGCTGCTGCAGCAGCTGGACAAGCACCTAAATAATAAATAAGCTTTAAGAAATTTGGTTTAATCAATTACGCAAATTTTTATAAATTAAATAAAAAAATTGATTCCTTTAAATTTTCAATTTTATTTAACAAAATTTTATACATTTTTTAAGTAGTTCGAAGTAGAACTTACTACAATAATTCTTCTAACATTAAAAATATTTAGTATCCCAGCAACCAACCCCAGACTTGTTGAAACGAGATACGCATAGAAAAACTTTTCTCAGATAAAATTTCCTCTATAAAATTACAATCAGACAAATTTTATTCAACAATAAAAATTTTTACATGAGAATCCCGCAACGAAGGGATAGCTAAACAATCTACTTCAAATTTTCTTTATCTTCAATTAAAAATTTGGAAAAGAAAGACCGCTAGTATTTTTCACAGATATTTACACTTAACCGCATAGTACCAAATCTTGATCCAAAAACTTACTGAAGAATAGCTAAACAATACTTCAAGTTTTCTTTATCTTCAATTAAAAATTTTGTAAAAGAAAGACACCTTTGATCCAAAAACTTGTTTCAACCGTCGACATAAGCAACGGTCTTGTCTTATGTTTGCAATTAACAAAACGTTCATTTTGAAGTTTAATATTTCTTATCTTGTAACATCAAAAGTTGAAGGTTTAGTTCTTCCTTGAATAGCGATAAAATAGGGTTTAGAGTCAGGTATGTAAAAACAGCGAATTTCCCGTACTCCATTTAAATCTCTAGCCTTCTTGTAACAAATAAAATCATGCCAATTCGATCGAATTTATTTTTTATTAGGCTGATCATTTTTTGATTAAATTCAATTGATATTATAAGTACATTTTTAAAATTTGATCTAATTGTCAACCATTTATTTTATACAAAAAAAAATGCAACTCATGCAAATTCATCAATAAAATTTTAAATTATTTATATATTTTATTAACTATTCGACATTCAAATTCCAAAAATGTATTTATGAACAATTATGTACTTAATTAATATAGAAATAAAAAAATTTCGTTTAGTACATGAAAAAACATACACTAAACTAAAACTAAACAATTAGGAAGAAAAATAAAATTTACATGTTTCCAGTATCGTTTCTTCTTTAGTTTTATTTTGAACATGAACAAGAAGATCGTATCTTATAATTTTATAAAACTAAAATAATAATTGTTTTAAACTTAAGCTGTGAATGTTGAAAGGAATTTAGTGACAATATCCTTTAATTTAGCATCGCTAGCTTCAGTAATTTGATTATCTTTAGCGATCTGTTCTAATAGAGCTTTTTCATTTGTCTTAACATGTTGCAAGAATTCTTTCTCGAATTTGGTGATTTTTTGTGGATCCATTTTATCTAAGTAACCTCGTACACCGCAATAGATGACAACAACCTTAATTTTAAACAAAATTTTTTTTTAGTTTTTTATAATTTTCTTCTAAAGAAAATTTTTAACTATACTTACTTGATCTTCAATAGCCATTGGTACATATTGACCTTGTTTTAATAATTCTGTTAAACGAACACCACGGTTCAACAATTGTTGTGTTGATGCGTCCAAATCTGAACCGAATTGAGCGAAAGCAGCTACTTCACGATATTGGGCCAATTCTAATTTCATTGAACCAGCGACTTGTTTCATGGCTTTGGTTTGGGCAGCTGATCCTACACGTGATACGGATAAACCGACGTTAATAGCTGGACGAATACCTTTGTAGAACAATTCAGTTTCCAAGAAGATTTGTCCATCAGTAATTGAAATTACATTAGTAGGAATGTAAGCAGATACATCACCAGCTTGAGTTTCAATAACTGGTAAAGCAGTCAATGAGCCACCACCCATTGCTGGGGACATTTTAGCTGCACGCTCCAATAAACGTGAATGCAAATAGAAGACATCACCTGGATAGGCTTCACGACCTGGTGGACGACGCAACAACAATGACATTTGACGATAAGCGACAGCTTGTTTTGATAAATCGTCATAGATGATCAAAGCGTGTTTTCCATTATCACGGAAATATTCACCCATAGCACAGCCAGAATATGGTGCCAAGTATTGTAATGGGGCAGCATCAGAAGCTGTAGCTGATACCATAATTGTGTAATCCATTGCACCGGCATCAGATAAACGTTTTACAATTTGAGCTACGGTGGAACGTTTTTGACCAATAGCAACATAAATACAGTACAATTTCTTGGATTCATCCTGACCATCATTGAAACGTTTTTGATTAATAATGGTATCAATGGCAAGAGCAGTTTTACTGTAAAATTAAAAGAAATCAACAAAGAACCATGTTAAATATTAATCAGTAAATAATGCTTTTATTGTGCCAATCATTCTCACCCAGTCTGTCTGTCACCAATGATCAACTCACGTTGTCCACGACCAATTGGTACCAATGAATCTACAGCTTTAATACCAGTTTGCATAGGTTCACGTACAGAAATACGTGGAATAATGCCAGGGGCCTTAATACCAACACGGTAACGTTGTTTTGTATTGATAGCACCTTTACCATCAATAGCATTACCTAAGGCATCTACAACACGACCAAGAATCTCATCACCAACTGGGACATCAACGATAGCACCAGTACGTTTTACAATATCACCTTCTTTAATCAACTTATCGTTACCAAATACGACAACACCAACATTATCAGGTTCCAAATTCAAAGCCATACCCTAAATATTTACGTTGCAAAATTAAGTTTGTATTTGCAAAATTAAGTTAAGTTATATGAACTGTTTTATTAGATACCTTTAATCCAGATGAAAATTCAACCATCTCATCGGCTTGGATGTTCTTTAAACCATATACACGGGCAATACCGTCACCAATGCTCAATACGCGACCGGTTTCATCAAGATCGGCTTTTGGTGCTGCGCCCATAATTCTTTCTTCCAAAATGGAAGAAATTTCAGCGCTACGATTTTGTGAAGAAACATGAAGTTTGCGAGCAGCTAGAGAAGCGGCTGGGTATGCTGTTTTTGTAACAACCTAAAATAAAATTTTTATACATTCCTTGGTGATGTAACATCTCTTACACACGAATTCGAATTTGCTTATTGCAATGTAAATATAATTTATCGGCTTGAAAATTTAAATAGGAAATAATTAACAAATGCAAAATTTAGTTTATAAATTGATTTAAAATACCGCATAAATCAAATTTTTTTTTAAGCTATGAAAAATCAATGCAACGAAGAATTAACATAACCTCAATTTTAAACACTTTTTGATAATTATGTAACACAAGCGAATAATTTGTATTTATTTCGGAAAAACTACTATGAAGAAATTTTTCACCAAATTTTTATCTTAATTTTCAGTATTTTCTACTTTTAGATTTGGCAAAATTATTACATAACTACATTAACTATAATAGAACCTTTAATTGCGTAACCAAATAATTGTAAATTCTCTAAAAATTGTATTTAAAAATTTATGAGTGCTCCTATTAAATTACAGGGAAAGAAATAATTTTTTGTAATTTGATTAAATCACATCTTTAAAGACACTTTTTCATATTCTTGCAGAATTTATCCAACATGGCCGAGTAATCCTTTTGTAAATTTTAAAATTTATTTAAATAATTCTTACTTGTGTTGCAGCTCTTGGTAATGTACGAGCTACTGTAGTAGCTAAACGTGCTGATAAATAAGACATTTTTTTATAATTTTCTTAAATGTAAAAATATTTTTAATTCCACCTTCTTCTCTAGCGTATGACTTTTTTTAAGTGCCAACCTATTTGATGTACTTTCTTTGCTCCGCAAATACACGAATTCGAAAAATTGATCAGATTTTTCTTTTTCGAACTTTTTATGACAATTCGTTTTCAGAGTATAGTGACATCTTATGTTTAATATCAAAATGAAACATGAAACTAATTTTTAATGGAAAAAGTTTATTGGTTTCACAATGTCAGTTTTGACAAAGTATTTTGTTTGTTAGATTTAGGAGACATCTGGTGGAATAATGTTTTGATATTGTGTAGGAGGAACATCGGTTAAGGCTTGAAAGTTGCCTTTTGAACGATATTTAATTAGATTTAGCATAAATTTCTTTTTAATATAGTAAATTAATTTTTTAGTATGCTATGCATTGATTTATTTGTAAATCACAAAAATAAGAAATAAAAATGTCTTACAAATTTTTCTAAAATTTTAAAATATTAAAGTAAACTTACTTTGTTTAATACACTAATAATACTAGAACAGTAGACTCAAATCGTTTTAAAGGGTCTTTCTCATTATTAATCACAGAAGACATAAAGCAGAGAAAATGGACAAATGGAAAATGGATCGAAAAAGATTTAAGACACACTATGAGTAACAGCTGCCAGCCACGACTAATTAATCTTAAGGTTTAAACTTAGTTGTTGTTCAAGAGGGAATACGCACTATAAAATGTAAAATTTTCACTTATCATTTTAAAAGTCTTGTCTTACAAAAGTTGTAAACAATGTTCGACATCAGACTGTTTAATGAAAAATAATGGATATAACACTATTCTCATCAGATTTATTGTCAGGTTCTATAGAGTTTAATCGTATTTTTTAAATTTTAATTTTGATTCCAATTTTCGAAGCAAAATTATTATATAATCATCATTTAAAGAAATGTAAAGAATCTGATAAGCAGAATTTTCCAGCTCGCAAAATGACGCTTTGGCATATATTTTAGGAACAAATCAAATTGATTATAAAATGAAACCACTCTACATATTAACTCTACATAATACCTGTGTAGAATTTTTTTTTCTTCTACAGTTTCCTGCCAGTATACAAAAGTATTCGTTTTCAAAAAAATTTAGTATTCAAAAGAGTACTGCTCTAAACACAACCACTAGGTACAATTGTCATTATCAGTTGTCGCTTTCAGTTCTAATTTGTCAAATTTTAAATTTAAAAAAATCAGTTGGCTTTGTCAATTTAATTTTTTGCAGTAATAAAACAACCGCCTTTGGTGTTGTAAGTAATTTGGGATAAACCATAATTTTTGTATATTTAAAAAAAAAAATTAAAAATAAAAGGAAAAAAAAGAAAAACTTATTTTTTAAAACAAAAGTTGTTTTATTAGGAAAGTTTAAAAAATAAAAAAAGAAAGAAAATGGCCACAGGATTAAGAAAATTTATTAGTGACGAGGTAAAATTTTTGCTTTAAACCCTGTTTTAGTTATTGCAAATATGAACATTGTTGAGCATCAATATTATTTTAATTTTCAGAATGCGATTGATAAGGTTCATAAAATGAAAGCGCAAAAAGTTTCTAAAGAAATTACATTTGGCAAATTACAAAAGAGAGCTGCCTTAGGTGAACTCGGAAATAAAGCTATACTGCCAAATACAAATACAATACTTGCTAAAGTTAAAGAGGCAACAGCACAAGAAAAGTGAGATAATTTAGATATGGAAACATTTCAAAAGTAATTTTTAAAATTTACAGTTTGAAGAATGCCAAAGCTAGAGTTGATACGCACTGGAAAAATAACGAAGGTCGTCGACTTATTCGGACCGAATCATTAAGGTTAAATAAAAATACTGTAAATTCTGCAAAACCTAATGTTGAAGCAGCGGTAAATTCAGCGGTAACTACAAATAAAATGACATTAAGGAATGCAACTAATCTGAAAACCAATGGAACAGTTTCTAAAACCATAACGCAAGAGCAGAAGTCAACTTTGTCGAAAGGTTGGTAATTCAAAAATGTGTTAAATTTTGACGCACAAATAATATCTGAAAAAGTTTTGTAAAAAGAATGAAAACTTATTTTTTAAAAAAAATTTCAAAATACTGAAAATTTTTTTAATTTTTTTTAGTTAACAGACAAAATCAGGTCAAAAAAGAGATACCAATACAGAAAATTGTTGTAGTAAAACCGGAAAATGGGTTAATGCGTCGTGAAGATAGTAATTTATCTAGAAAATCTTTAACAAAGTTGCGGGCAGTTTTAACAAAAGATGCTGCAAAAAGGGACGGACTTGTTTCAATTAAAGTTGAAAATTGTAATGGAACTACTAAAAAACCCGTCAAATCCAATGCTCAATCCATTGATATTCCAAAACAAAAAACTATTAAAGCTAAAGAAGGCTATTTAACAGAAACCACAAATGTCGAAGCAAAATCTGGTTTTGAAGACATTGATGCAAATGATATTGAAAATATATTTGCACTAACTGAATATGTTAATGACATTTTTAAATATTTAAATGAACTAGAAGTAATCTTTAAAATAGATGAAGATTTTATGAAAAATCAAATTGAAGTAACGCCACGTATGAGGACAGTTCTTTTAGATTGGATCAATGAGGTTGCAAGTCAGTTTCGCTTGTTAGCAGAAACATATCAGATAACTGTTGGAATTATTGACAGATACTTGCAGGTATTTCTTATTCATAAATTTTACTTTCAATACATATATTAAATTGATTGTTTTTCTAAACATAATCATATTTTTTCTTTTTTTTTACATAAGATAATACCAAATACTACAAGAGGGCAATTGCAATTAGTTGGTGTTACAGCTTTATTTATTGCAACGAAATATGAAGAACTTTTTTATTCTGATATAGGTGATTTTATTTATATGACCGATAATAGCTACACAAAAGAGGATATATTAAATATGGAGAAAAAAATTATGAGAGCATTAGATTTTCAATTGTCACGCCCATTTCCATTACAATTTTTAAAACGATTCGCGAAAGCTATTAATGCGGAACAACACGAATATTCTTTAGCCAAATATATTTTGGAATTAGTATCAATTGAGTACTCACTGGCGCATTATAAACCATCAGAGGTAATAACAAAAAATCTTTATTTTTACTCTTTCTTTTTTTTTTTTTTTATGCCTTTACCCATATATCATTTTTTTTCTATTCCAAAGATCGCTGCCGCTGCTTTATTTCTTTCTGTTAGCTTATTAAATATAAAAAAGAAACCAACAGATGATATTTGGAATAAAACAGTGGAACATTATTCCACATATAGCTCTACATATTTGAAACCACTCGTTAAAAAAATTGCTGTTGTATTAAAAAATGCACCAAAAGCAAAAGTTAAGTCGATATATACCAAACATAGATCAGAAAAATATTTTAAGATTTCAACAAGACCAGAACTTTATGGGAAAACGATAGATTCCATAATTAATTCGGATGAATGAGAACGATATTAAAAAAAAATTTATAAATAATTGATACGTATTTTTTTTTGATAAGATTTAAGGAATTTTTTTAATTGGAAAACAGTTCCATTAATTTAATATATACATACATAGTTGGAGTTAGGATTTATTTTTCTAATGTACGTTTAATATTAACATTATTTTCTTTTTTTTTTTTAAATACAAGGTTAGTTTTAACACATTAGCAATGAAATCAATTTTTCACGTCAAAAAATTATATTGAAAATTATATTTTTATATTAATTATAAAAAATAAGCATATGTGCACGTTAAATATCTTGTATTTTTTATATAATATAAAAAAAATAAATTTTACACGCATAGGTACTTTAACTTTTAAAACAAACTTTGTTCAATAGAAGAATAAAAAAAATTATAACTAGCAAAGAAAAAATAATATAATTTTTAATTTAATTTTAATATGTATATAAAATTTTATATTAAAAATATTGAAGGTGGATACTCAGAATTCAATATTCGATTGTGTTGTAGAATTTGACTTATGCATATTTGTAATATACATACAAAAGTAAAAGCATCAATTTTCAGCCCTTTACGGAATTTTTTTTTTAATATTGCTATAGTTTTGCTATTTCCCAGAGAATAGTAAAATTTAGTGTTTTTGTGATCTTGAGTTATTGTACATTGATAATATAAGTAAGTTTTTACAATTTGAATTAAATTAATCAATTTTTATGGTAAATGTAAAACGAGACATTTTTTACTATGTTTAGTCTAGGTTATCCTAGTGGCAGCCTTTTGTTCCCTAATAGTCGGCAATATGTTTTTTCAATAGGAGTTTAGGAACTTATAGAACAAAAATTAAAAAAAAAAATGATTTGGTAAAAAAAAAGAAAAATGAAATATTGACCATAATATCTATTCAGACTACAGGGGAATAACATGTTATACTGTTTGATTAATATGTTATATAAAATTAGATTCACATGGAATTCCATAATATGTTTCTATTTGACAGTAGTAAACCTGTTTTGGTTGGCATTTTGTTTATTTCAAAATTTAAAAAAAAAATTTTGTATTTTGTATTCATGTCATTTTTTATTTTAAAATATTTTTGAATTTCAATTTACTAAAAATAATTTAAATTTTTTCAAAAATTTTTTGACATTTCTCTCAAAATTTTCTTTGGTTTTTAGGAAAAATTCTCAAAAATAAATCATTCATAATAGGAAAACATGTTTTAAGAAACATTTTATTCTGAAAAACATTTTTTACCTTTACAAATTTTTCCAAAAAAAATTTATCGTTAAGCACTATACATAACATGTTATTCGTTATCATATTCGTAGTGTGAGTAGGGATAATATTTGATATTTTTTTTATGTGTTACTTGTTCCTGCTCCTATTTTTTTTCACAAAGTTAGCATTTTTTTAATTTTAACAGAAATATTTAATAAAATTATATATTTTCTTACCGTTAGTAGTAAAATTATGAAGAAAAACTCAACAGTTTTTTGAACCATTTCCTTAAACCCAACAACAATTTAGAAATTCGGACAAACGTCAGAAAAGGACAGTACGAAGTTTAAGTAATGTTTGAATTTCCTATCCAATAATAAAATAATTTACAAATTTCGATTGTTTTTAAAATTTATTTTAAGAAAAGCTAAATGTTCTAAAAGTAAAATTTATTCTTATTTCCAATAATTTTTTTTTGCAGAAAAATATTTTACATATTTACATACTAATTTGCCGTGTCTAATTTGATTTGACTAAAATTTTTATGAGAAAAGTTATCACAAGGGTTTCCAGGCATTCAATGTTTAGATAGAAGTTGGTAATCTTATTTTTTAAGTTCAACATCTTTGCGACATGTGAAAATATAGTAAATTTATATCCTTACATATACATATATAACTGCATATATGTTTACATACATATGGAGACGTATAATATCATTTATGCAAGGGCTCCTTTTAATAAACGTTATGCGCAAGTAACTGTTACGTCAAAAAATTTTTTATACACATGGTTACATTATTATTACGTTTACTTACTAATATAATAGTAAGCATGTATGTATGTACAATAAAAGAAAATCTACATACATATTATATACTTTTGATTTTGTTTGTAAAACATTTGTTATTTTAGTGTCATTCCCTTTAACATTAAAAGCTTTTCTAAAATTAGCTTTTAACTATCATGTGGAAGTTATTTTTATCTTTATTTTACATTTTGTTTGTTTGCTTTTTTAATTTTTCTGATTACTCAAGAGATTTGAGCAACTTTTCGAAATTATAATTTTTTTTTTACGTCTCTTGCGAAATTGGGAGATGATTTTCAAATTCGAAAAATTTGCACATATTCAAATTTCGAAAAATTTGTACATATGGTTGTATATGGATCAAATAATATGTTTGTATAAAGTCTGTGCATATTTAACTCAAACATAATGTGTGTGTGTTCATATAAAACGATAATAACTTTGTTTTATATAGTAAAACGTATTTATGTTGGTCTCACTTATGTATGTACATGAGTGTATGTATGTTTTGGTCCATACTTTGGTCATTATGGGAAGAGAATAATAAGCTTTTATACATCTCAACGTTCATTCCCATACACATATATGTAGGTATAAATATATGAATGTATATTTATTAAATTTTTCCGAAAGGAGAAAAGGACAAAATTTATTATTTTATAAAGATTTTTCCTTTTCTTAAATTTTTAGAGAATTTTCAAATAGAGATTTACAATTATTAACTAACAGAAATAAAAAAAATATTTTTATTTTAGTTGGAGTTTGATGATTCGTGTGATAAGAACGTGTCGCGGATAATTGTACAAAATTATGTACATACTTATATATTGAAGAGAAGTTGAAGAAATGAATTTTAAAAACTGGACTAAAATTTAAAAATATATGTATGTATGTATGTATGTACAGATAGACAGAGTTTTTAAATCAAGTTTTAAAAACAAAAAATTTTATTTTAATAAAATAAAATATTAATTGATTTCGAAATATAACAATTGTTATAAATTTAAATATATAAATTGAAAAAAAAAAAAAAAATTAAATAAATAATAATTAAGAAATCTAATACTGCCATATTTGTGCCCGTGCCGGTAAATATTTTGTTGTTACAAACAAATATAAAATTTATTGGTATTTGCGTTCATGTAAAACAAACGAAAAAAGAAAACGTTAAGTAAACGTTAACAATTTATAAAATTATAAGCACAAAACAAAAAAAAAATAATAATAATAAAGAAATTGTAAGTTTAAAGAAATTAAATAAAAAAATATTTGGAAATTGCCATTTAATGTTGATGTTTGTATAATTTAGAAAAAAATTAAATAAACTTTATTAAAACAAATTTCGAATTAGACGAAATAAATATCAATATTAATAATATACAATTATGTAGTGAAGAATGAATTATAAAAATTAATTAAAAAAATTAAATTTTTGTTAATTTTAAATACAAAATTTCGGAAAAAACAATGCGAAATAATAACAAAACAAAAAAGTTACGGGAAAATATGTAATTAGTCGGGTGCCAAAAACTATTTAAATTTTTCTTATTGTCACTTTGTAGAAATTTTAAACTTGTAATATTTAATATTCACGCTTTATTAAAATTTTAATGGACTTAGGAGGATAGATCGGATTAAAAATCAACTTTTAATGTTCAGAATAATACAGAAAATATAGAATTAATTGAAATAAAGGTAAATTAATTATATCAAAAATTAAATATTTAAATATTTACTTGTATTTTTTATAGTAATTTTATTTTTCATACCATATATTTCAAAAATTGAAAAACGTCATAGAATTTTCTTTGTCTCTGATTCTTTTATGCAGATTTTAATCTATCAATGTCTTTCATCTGTACATAGAAGGACATTCATTGTTAATCTTACAATTACATTGTTGGCATTAAAAAAAAATTCTTTGTACCATTGAATTTAATAATTTGAAAGATTAATGTAGACGTATATTTTGAAATTTCGCAATTTTTCGACTTCTAAGTGAAAAATTTTAAATGTTTTACAAATAAAATATTCCTCTTGAAATTTCTCTTTAATATTTTATTAATAGAATGAAGTATTTTCGCTTTTTGTTTCTTATGTGTTAGAACTTGTATTTGGAATATAATTTTGCATTAAAAAATAATTGTGTAAGTCGTAATTTTTTATATGAAATTTTTTGTTATACTCATTGCTTCTCTTAAATTATTTTATACTCGATTTTGTAATGATAACGTAATTGTTAAATGTTATTTTAATTGAACAGCGTTTTTATTTTGCCTATTATCACCTTTGGTCTAATATAATATAATCAACTATTTAATAATTAATTATTTAATGTAATGTGTTTTTTTAATATTTTTTTGTCGCAGAATTTTTAATTATTAATAGTTATAATGTTAAAGATTTGTAATTAAATAAACTGTGGGTATTGAATTTTTTCAATTAATTAAATGATAATGAAAATTAATAATGAGTCCAAAAGATTGTTCTTTTTTATTCAAGGTTTATACAATAATAGTTCTTTTTATTATATTATTAGGTGATAATTATTTTAAGATCTTTATTTCTTAATATATCGTATTTAATTTTAGATTGAAATTTTGATGAACTTCTGTATTCACAAGTGTTTCAAATATTATTAAATTATTTTTACTTTATAATCTTTAATTTGGAATTTTATGTAAAATAGGTATATAGGTATTCAGGAGATTTCCGAGAAAATGCGAGGCCTGGAACAACTAATATTTAGAGGCCCCGAAATTTCACAAATACAGTGCATAAAAAAAAACAGAATAAAAGCAATATTTTAATGTTGGCTTATTTAATATTAATTTTTAATTCCGAAAAATCATAATTAATTAATAATTAATGTTTATAATTGCTAGTTGATAAAAGATTTTAGTAATTTAATTTTTTTCATGTTGAATTATTTCATTGTACCTTACGCACAATGAAAATATTTAACATTGTCTTCATTGAAGACATATTCTCAAATTGAAATATTTTATTTAAAGTATTAAGTTGTTAAAATGAGGCCCCGCAGATATTGAACTATAATACATCAGGTAAGTTTTGGAATTTTAATTTTGATTTAGATACTTTTGAAATTTTATTTATTAAGTACAAACATTTTTTTTATTTTTAACTATATTTTAAAATCAAGATAGATTATAAGAAAATATTAAAAATTGAGAAATTAAAATCAGTACAAATGATTTTTTTTTTGATTTTTAAATTGACTAAAATATTTTAGGTAATATTAAGTAAAATATTTTACAAAATCTGAATTGAAAATATAAAGTTTTATGTTAGGCAGCTGTAGTTTATATTAAGCCGCAAGTATTTTTCCAAAAAGGCGCAATAAACTGTCATTATTGATGACGT